TGTTCTGAGATTGATGTTGCTATGACTTTGTTATGCTTAATGCTTGTGACTAGGGTCCGAGAGCCATGATTTCAGATTTGAACCGTTTATGTTTTCACCATTATATCTATGTTCGTGATCCGATCTTGCAAGTTATATGCACCTATTACGTGTTATGATCCATAAACCCCAAGGTGACAATAATTGGGATACTTTCCGGTGATGACCGTAGTTTGAGGAGTTCATGTATTTCACTATGTGTTAATGCTTTGTTCCGGTTCTCTATTAAATGGAGGCCTTAATATCCCTTAGTTTCCTTATGGACCATGCTGCCACGGGAGGGTAGGACAAAAGATGTCATGCAAGTTCTTTTTCATAAGCACATATGACTATTTACGGAATTCATGCCTACATTATATTTATGAGCTGGAGCTAGTTCTGTGTCGCCCTAGGTTATGACTGTTACATGATGAATATTATCCAAAGTAATCACCAATCCAATGCCTACGAGCTTTTTGCATATTGTTCTTGCTAAGTTACTACTGTTGCTGCTGATGTTACAACTACTACAAAATTACCGCTACTGCTGTTACTGTTACTATTGCTACCGCTATCAAATTATCATACTACTGTGTTACTGATCATCTTGCTGTAGATATTTAATCTCCAGGTGTGGTTAAATTGACATCTCAACTGCTAATACTTACAAATATTCTTTGGATCCCCTTGTGTTGAATCAATAAATTTGGGTTGAATACTCTACCCTCGGAAATTGTTGCGACCCCCTATACTTATGGGTTATCACCCTCTATGGTGATAATTATCCTCACTAGACGCCATACTCTCTTAGTTTGTGAAACCAAGGCTATGGAGACCAAAGCAATGGAAACCAAGGCAATAGAGACCAAAGCTCTGATACCACTTGTAGGATCAAAAGTATGTCTAGAGGGGGTGATTAGACTACTTGACCAAATAAAAATCTATCCTCTTCCCAATTTTAGCTGTGGGCAGATTTTAGCAATTCTACTAAGTCCAATATCACCATACACATGCAATTATAAGAGTATAGCAACGAAAAGTAAATTTTTGCACATCTAGGTAAAGGAGGGGTTTGGAGAAGGCAAACAAGGTGGAGACACAGAGATTTTTTGCGTGGTACCAATAGGTGGTGCTATCGTACGTCCACGTTGATGGAGACTTCAACCCATTTAGGGTAACGGTGCGCGAGTCCATGAAGGGCTCCATCCACGAAGGGTCCACGAAGAAGCAACCTTGTCTATTCCACCATGGCCTCCGTCCACGAAGGACTAGCCTCACTCGGATAGATCTTTACAAAGTAGGCAATCTCCTTGCCCTTACAAACTTCTTGGTTCAACTCCACATCATGTCGGAGGCCCCCAAGCGACACCTAACCAATCTATGAGATACCACTATCCAAAAGGTAATAGGTGTTGTATAGATGATGAACTCCTTGCTCTCGTGCTTCAAATGATAGTCTCGCCAACACTCAACTCTCTCTCTCTCTCTCAGATTTGGCTATGGTGGAAGAATGATTTGAGTGGAAATCAACTTGGGGAAGGCTAGAAATCAAGGTTCAAATGGCTGGATTGGAATCTCTTGATCTCAAGACATGAGTAGGTGGTTCTCTCTCAGAAAATGAATGGTGAAAGTGTAGTTTCATTTTGATGGCTCTCTCACTAAATGAGAGGGGTGGATGGGTATAGATAGCCTCCACATGAAATCCAACCATTACACACTTTTTACCCAACTCAGTAGCACCGATAAGAATTCTCGATGAGACCGATCTGTGTAAAAGATATGAACGTAGGTGGTCTCAGTGGGACCGAATGGAAACAATATCACTAAGTGGCTGAGGGTTTTGGAGCAATATCACTAAGCACTTGAGCAACCAGATCATCATCAAAACCACATCTTGAGGGGTCCACATTCACTAGTCATTGCCATGCCAATCACTGAACTTCCTGAAATCTTAACTTGAATAGGCATTAGTTCAATGACATATATGTTGTTATTAATTACCAAAACCACCTGGGGATTAGTTGCACTTTCAGCTCCAGTTTGTTTTCCCTCTGAATATGTCGGTGAAAAAATCCCGTAAAAATAGAGGTGATTAGGGTAAAATATGACCATTGGTTTTGGAGAGGGATGGATGCTTGCCCTATGGATCCCACATGCCCCTGGCTCCCGACCCAAGGCCATGTCGCCGGGTGGGGTTGCCTGGGTTCTCTCATAGCGCACCGTCCTCATGTCGAAAACATCCATAACCACATGCCAAGATCACTCATCATTACCTTATTTTCTTGACGCCTCCCGCTAAGTGCCAGATCACTCTCGATGAGGTATAAATACCGCCAATTAAGGGTTCACCCCTCATAGAACCACCAAATGTGTGTGTGTGTGCGTGTGAGAGACCTCTCCTCGCACCCAACTATCCACAATCATGCGCCAACAATCTCATTCTCAGTAGTCGTGTTCCATAAAGTGCCAGCTCAGGACTCGCAATGTTACGAATACCACAAATTGTAGGCTCACCCTCCTATAACTACCAAACGCACACACCCTTATGTGAGAGAGATCGTATGGTAACTCGCGTCTCTTCCACCCACGATCGTGTGATTTGGGCCTCCTCATCCCCGTTGAGAGAGAGGGAGAGATCCCTACATCGCCGCCATATCTCCCCTCTCATAACTACACAATGGGAGCCTCCTCATCTCCACCGCGAGGGAGTTCTAGAGGAGCCGACCAAGGAGTGTGCAACCCCTTGAGTGTTCCCAAATCTCCCAAGCTAGTGAAGAGCGATCTCATGGAGCGGTTGCGCACGCGGTCAGATCGGAAGCTGCGTGACACACTTGGTGAGTCCGACAAAGACCTCACACCGGATGGGGGAAGACATGTAATGGACCAATACAATGTCACCATGGCTACGGGGACTACGCGCAAGGACGGTCCATGTCCACAACTATCACCATCAACGAAGGTCATGACTCGGTCCCAGTTGAAGAAGTCGATGAACGAGTGCATGGATCTCGAAGCACCTGCTAAGCGGGTTGTGCACAGGGATGCACCATGCCCACAGACATCACTACCAACGAACAACAATACGTCACCGATGCGGAAGGTGATGACCAGATCTATGTCAGAAAGGCCGAGGGCTTGGGTACCAGATCTCATAGCAGATCACAAGATCAGACGACATCTCCTTTCACTACTTCCCTACTTTAACATTATTATAAATAATTTGGTATTTTTTGTATGCTTCAAGACGATGTCCTGATCTATGTCAGAAAGACCAAGGGCTCGGGTATCAGATCACAAGGTCAAAAAGCACTTTCTTTCACTATCTTCCTGTTTTAACATTCTTATAAACATTTTTGTAATTTTGTGTATGCTTCAAGACACATCGTGTACCAAAATATCACAATAAGTAAATGCATCCCAACTAAAGTAAACAAATCTTTCACACTTTTCGCACAATCGCACCCGACAATAAGGTTTCCAATCTTGTAATAAGTGAATGCGGCTGGAATTATATTTTTTTTCTATAGTTCAAATATTTCTTTTTTGGGACCGTCTATTTAATAGGTGCCTGAAAAAAAGGTTTCCATCAGTAACTTATTTCTTGACCATCGGATCAAGATCCAATGACCTCCATCATGCCACAGACTACCGTCATCTTCTCCCCATCTTCTTCCTCCCGATGACAATTCCTCCCCCGCCCATCCTCCTACCCCTCCCCCACGGCCGCCAGGTGCTACCGCACACCGCCTCACCGCCTAACCCTCTCGTCAACATTCCCCACCGCCCGACCATTCCTCTAAGCCCACATCACTGGAGAAACCTCCAGCAATCCCATGCCCCCACCTCTAAGATGGATAATGGGTTTTGCTACTCCCCCTAGTGAGGACATGGCTTCCCTCTAATATAGATGGAGGGTCTATGATTTTCTCCGGCGAGGTCCATCTTCTTCGGCGAGCTTGGGGTGAACTAGAATAGGTAACTGACGCGAACCATTCTTTTTCTCAAGCAGATCTTTATTTTCAAAATAGTCCAGAGGTCAGATCTTTCATTTCAATCAAGTCCACCATCCATCTCAAATCTTGATTCGTGCGGGAGTAGGAGGCTTCCCAGGGCCATTGCAATTTCAACCGTCCGATCTTCACCTCAGGGCAATCTCACCCGCCCGTCTTCTTTATAACTAGGGATAAAAGCCAGCGTTGAAACCTAGCCGCCGTCTCCCATTGGCATCCTCTCCGCCTCATACCTTGGCATGGCGCTGCGGCGCTCCCCTCGCTTCTCCATCTCCGGCCTCTCGTCATCGCTAACCTCCGGCTCTCCGCCTCTTCAAAATAGTCCACGGGTAAGATCTGCCTCGTACTTTGGCATGCCGCCGCGGCGCTCCCCTCCCCTCTCCATCTTCGGCCTCTCATCGTCGCTAACCTCCGGCTCTCCGCCTCTTCAAAATAGTCAACATGTAAGATCTTTCTTTTCAATCAAGTCCACCGTCCATGGTTTCTTTCGTAGATCCAGCTCGGATGCCGGATCCCAACCCCTAGAGCAACGTGAGGTGATTTAGGCATAGGAGAAGGGCTACACTGCAAAAAGCCTGTATAGTTCAGTACGAGAACTTTCTTCCCTGGGCAGTGGCCGTTACCACTGCCTCCGCCCCCGCTCCCCTCCGCGCGCGTGGGTCAGAGAGAGCGCGCTCGCCCCTCGCCGCCCTCGCGCCGCCCCTCCCCGCCCACAGCAACGCGCCGAGCGCCCCCATGTCACCACCTTCCATTTTCACGCGCCCCCCGCTGCACTCCAGCCCAGGCCCCGCGGCGGTATAAATTCCGCTCGATTTTGGGCTCGCCCCTCCCCGAATCCCAATCTCCAAACCCTAGCCCACTCCGAGGCGGCGGAGCTAGAGTCGGCGCCGTGGCGAGGGCGCTTGCTGCGCTCTTTACAGGAGCTTCCCCCCCGCCTCGCCGCTTAGTGTATTTTTCTGTCCCGGCGGCGGGATGAGCAGCCTCGTGGAGCGGCTGCGCGTTCGGTCGGACAAGCGGCCCCGCTACACACTAGATGAGTCCGACGACGACTTCCCGCCGCGCGGCGGGAACGGGAAGGGGAAGGATCGAGATGGCGACCCCCCTGTCAAGCAGATCGAGCGCGAGGACGCGGTATGGCTGATCACGGCCCGTTTTCGCATCATGCCTAATTCGAATTTTTGTGCTGATTTTTTTTGAAGCTGCCTGTGGGTAGTAGGGAATTGATGCTGTTCTGTTAGGATTACTAGTAGTTGGAGAATTAGTTGTTAGGCTGTGAAAATGGCTCAATTCTTGGTAGGCGGGAGGAATTGGTTTGGGGATCTGGTGTAGAATAGGGTTACTGAGGTAGGTGGGAGGAATGACTGGTGCTACATAGAGTTTAGGGATGATTTTGCTAGAATAATTCGTTTGCTTGATACCGTTTGGATGCTGAATTGTGGAGTACTAGATTTTGGGTTTTTGTATGAAATTTTTTGGTTGCCAAGAGTGCCATGGCAGACATTGTGCAATAGGATGGATATGTAGTTTAGGATTGGTGCTCTAGGCTCTCACGGTGCTATACAAGAGATCACCACTCTTGGAAGTGAAGGGACTACACAGACGTTTCTTAACAATTAACATCTTGGTGCAAGTTTACTGCATTCTTTCACATCGTTAATATATTCTCCCTTCTTCCATGTACACAAGGCCATTTTCCAAATTGTCAGATACCAAGGAAAAGAAAATAACTCACTAATGTACGTTTTATGACATGAAAACTGTGGCAACTAAGTTTCTCGTTTCCGCCAAAATCCCCTTGTTCGCTAAGCTAATAAAAACGCACATGCAGGGCTAATGGTTTTCCCAGATTTCATTCCCCCTGTTGTAGTTAATGCATGGCTGTTGGCAATAAAAACAATCGGAGTACGAGGTAAAAAACACTGGGAACGGGAAATGGCATAGTATTTATGGACAAACCAATTTGAGAGTGTGGCCCTGTATTAATGGAAGGAGGGAGCGTTAGTTAATAGCTTGATATATATTTGGTATAGAATAGGCAGGTCTGGTTTTCTATATTCTGAAGATTTTGTGAAGCTTGTTAATGTGCTAAGTGCTAACCAGAAGACTATTAACTTGGGGTCTTCTATGTGGATCAAAATTTATTTGTCTTTTGTTTATTTCGACTTTCCTTAGATTCAGAATACAAAGTTGCCGCGTTTTTAATTGGCATTTTGGTATAGCTTGTCCACCATGCCATTACTTTATAGGTCCAGCACAAGTTTTTTTTTGGAGAATGCAAAAAACTTTGCGTCTTGATGCATTGCTACAAAAATAAGGTTCTGTACAAGCCCAAGAAGGGCAATGGGCAAATTTACAGCGCAACCCCCCTACAAGTAGGCACTGCCGTAAGTAGTGCTATGAGACCCAATTCTCATGCTTTCACCCACGATCTGGCCTCAGCTCGGACTGTGTCATGTAGGCTAGCGACGTTGGGCTGTGTGCCGCGGAAGATGACTGTGTGGCGCTGCGTAAAAATCTACCAAGCCATGAGCATGATCATCGAAGAGGTGCCCTTCCTTGCGGAGATGGGGACAGAGTGGATGGCCTGCTGCCACCGTTGCACAGTTAGAGTTAGAAGCTTGGATCCTTTTTTAAAAGATATCAAGATAGAATTACCAAGCATGTCTTCTACATTATATGACCAGGCAGGATGTGCTAGTACCTCGACACAGCGTGCAGACAAAAAAGAATGAAGCAACATAAACTATGTAGTTGGACTCTTTGAATGTGTAGTACCTGGTTGACAAGTATATGAACACAGAATGAAACTGAACTAACAATACTTCAGTATCCAATTTAAATATTTGTGTATTTAACTGCAAGTGTCCATCTGTCTGAAGTAGTAGAATTCTGATGATAATTGAGTGGAATGGCGCTGCTTACCTTATTCTGCATTTTCAGATATGCCATATCTAGGTTTGTTCCTTCAAGTTTAGATTGAGATTGGCTGGCATTTTACTACTATGGGATTGAAATTTGTGCAAAGTTAATCTCCTGGGTGATCTCACTGTGCTATAAATAATCATGGTTTTATCTGTTTTAGGAGATTGTGATAGTTTTGATTTTGTGTTAATATCATTGTGCCATGCGGTTTCTCTTGGCTCTATGTTTTTCATAACTGGAAGAGATAGTTATTTTCTGTCCTCATTTACTAATCGGCACTTCAAATCGCCTTGGTAGTTTGTCTACAACTCTACATAGTGGAGTTTCAAATGTCCGTTTGTGCACCTTCCGTTTTCCAGATTCCTATTATTCATTTGATTCCATGTTTGTTAATATCCTCTTCTCCAGTTTTGGTTGTCCTGTATTTATTTTGAACTCAGTGCTGGCTCATTTTTGTGTGCAGAAAGAAGATGCTTGCCGAAAATGTGGGCTAAGTGATAATCTTGTATCTTGTACAACATGTACATATGCATTTCACCGGAAATGTCTGGTTCCTTGCCTAAATATCACATCTGATAAGTGGAGCTGCCCTGAATGTGTATGCGTTTGCTCTCTTGACCCATTTTTCTTTCACCTTACGATTGATATTGCTGGTATACCAAAGCATGCTGTCTGTGATTTTCAGGTAAGCCCACTGACAGAGATGGAGAAGATATTAGATTGCGAAACGAAGGTTGCTTCTGAAGAGACTAGTTCTTCGGAGTCTGGATCAAATAAGAAACCTGTCAAGCAATATCTGATAAAATGGAAAGGATTATCACACATTCACTGCACTTGGTAGTTACCTGCCTGCCTTGCTCAATGCAGAATTATTCCCTACAGTCTATCCTCTCTTAACTGTTGACTTTCTTTATATATCAGGGTGTCAGAAGATGAATATTTTGAGGCTGCGAAGATACACCCTCGGTTGAAAACTAGATTGAATAACTTCAATAGACAGTTTGAGTCGACGGATAAATCTGACGATGACTATGTTCCAATTAGGCCTGAATGGACAACTGTTGACAGGGTCCTTGCTAGCAGGTATGTGGGTTAATCTGACAAACTAATAAATTTACATTAATGAGGTTCAGTCATCATAGTTATTGTTTATGGCGTTTATCCTGAGATCAGGCAGTTACCAGAATATGAAGCTGTCATTGGACTGTATCACATTTATTCCATAATGTATCATGTTATTGCCCTGAGTCAAATACTCAAATGACAATAGCATTCTTCAATCATAGTGATATCTTTACGATGGTCTCAGTAATCCGAACGTGTCACGTTTTGTCTTCCTCCCATGTATCCATGCATTTCCATTTTGCAAAGCTCAACTGATATCTTGATATTTGTAACATCGTTTCGTATTTTGTGAACAGAAAAAACTCTAGTGGTGAAAGGGAGTACTATGTGAAATGGAAGGAACTTTCATACGATGAATGCACATGGGAAAGTGAGTCTGACATCTCAGTGTTTCAACCTCAGATTGAGCGCTACAATGAGATTCTGTCCAGGCGCAAGAAATCTACTGACAAGAGTAAGAATGCCGATCGTGCGATGCGTCATGCTGAACAGACCCCCGAGTTTCTTACTGGTGGTATGCTGCTATTAAACATGAATTATTCTCATTTTTCTATTTAGTTGACTATATTGATGTAATGGGACATGTCTTCATGCTCGTTCTTTGAATCATTTTCTGGTTATTGAAGGCAAACTACACCCTTATCAGCTTGAAGGGTTAAACTTTCTGCGTTATTCATGGTCTATTAATAAACGTGTCATCCTTGGTGATGAGATGGGTCTTGGTAAGATACTTTTATAACAAGGATGCTAGTATTACCAACTTTTGTATCTATATGTTCAGAAATTGATGACAAAAAAAATACAGGGAAAACAATACAAAGTATTGCTTTTCTGGCCTCTGTGTCTGAAGACAAGTTTGGTCCCCATCTAGTTGTTGCCCCTCTCTCAACCTTGCGAAATTGGGAGCGTGAATTTGCAACTTGGGCACCTCAAATGAATGTTGTACGTGGGTTGAACTAATTCGAAATACATTATTTGTATACTCCAGACAGATATATTTTTTTCTGACTTTTCTCCTCATTGTTGTCAGATTATGTATTTTGGATCTGGATCTTCTCGTGACATTATCAAGAAGTATGAATTTTACTATTCCAAAGATAATCCTAAGAAGCTGAAGAAAAATAAATCATCTTCATCTAATGATGAAAAGAAGCAGTCAAGAATAAAATTTGATGTCCTTTTGACATCTTATGAGATGATTAACATGGATTCTGCAGTCCTGAAAACTATAGAATGGGAGTGCATGGTAATTCTGTTTCTTCATTTTGTGGAGGCTATTTGCACTCTGATGTTTTTACCGACTTGTCCCTGATTATTAATGTTGCATCTTAGATTGTACTCTGATGTTTTTACTGACTTGTCCCCGATTACTAATGTTGCATCTTAGATTGTGGATGAGGGGCACCGCTTGAAGAACAAAGATTCAAAGTTGTTTGGTCTACTTAAAGATTATCATACTCAACATCGTGTTCTCTTAACGGGGACCCCGGTTCAGGTTACTACTCTACATTCAAACCATCGTACTGTATTCCCGCACTTAAAACTATTTCTTGTTCATGCTCAAGGCTACTAGCAGTCTTGTTGAATTGCAATTACTATTTATCTAGAGGTTTCTCGGTGTTTAAGCTCAGATCGTTTATTGTCTGTGGTCTATATCCTTGTTTATTTGAGAGTATGCACACTTTCACCAGTGCTTATCATTGTCAATATATCTTCCATAGCAAGATACCTAAGGGGCTTAGTGTCCTAATAGGATATTAATTGTATATATCACCACATCGGTATGTGAACAAGATAAATGCACTTGTCTGAACATATCCGTTTTGTGAACATGAGTTAGGCACCAGAACATTGCGTGTTGAATAATATCTAAGGAACCCTGACACTGTTCTCACATATACACATGATTTTATAGCGCATCATTTACATTCATTTTTCATCCCGTTTGTTTGCACATGCTATTTTTTTCACTTGAAAACTTTTTTGATGCATGCTATTGTTTTCTTGTGACTTTATCCTGTGCATCTGAATTTGTTGTCCTGTCTTTTTTTTCTTCTTCTGCAGAATAACCTGGATGAGCTTTTCATGCTGATGCACTTCCTCGAGGGTGAAACTGTAAGATTAGCAGATTCTCCGTCACTTCCATTTTATATTTCAAAGTTGTTTGTTCCACTTAAAGATTTTCATGCTAAATTTGTTATTTTGTTTTGACACTAGCCCATTAGGCATTCTGTCTGTCCTATTTTAAAATGTCTTGATTTTACTGTGGTCCATGATAGACTCTTTCCTAGCTTTTAGCATATGCTGACCAATCTTTTAATCTCCTATTGCATTTAATGTTATGTTCTATACTTCTATCCTGTAATGTTATGGCACTTACATTTGTAGTTTGGGAGTATATCTGATCTCCAAGAGGAGTTTAAGGATATCAACCAAGACAAGCAAGTCGAGAAGCTCCATGGAATGCTGAAGCCACACCTTCTTCGGAGTATGAATACATTTGATCGTTTCTTTCTGCTGGGCGTATGGTTTTTACTCATATCAATTAAATGATCTGTAAATGAGTTGGACTTAGCACTAGTTATTTAATCCTTTTTCATTGTCCTTGATCGTTGTACTGCCATTGATATCTGGAGTCAGAATGTTTCTTTGGTTTAGTCTATAATGGTCTGAATGGTGGCGCCAAAATTTCAGCCGATCTTTGCACACATTCTGATGTAATATGCATACCATGAAAATCCATAATCTTTGCATATTCATGTAATATGCGGGATCTGACAAAAATGGTACTCCCTCCGTTCCATATTAGTTGTCGCTGATTTATTACAAAGTTGTACTAAATCAGCAACAACTAATATGGAAAGGAGGGAGTAACAAATACATATAAAAGAAACGTAGAAGTAGGTATATCATCAGATTTCTGTCTATTACATACTGAAATGATGTGGCATTGTTGTTCTTCCACTCTTTCTGTTACCGTGGCATATGTTTTGCAAATGTTACATGAGGTGCAGTATATTCCTGAGTAGAATTAGTTTGGTAAACTCAAAAGTAAAGCTGCTGGAAGTAAGATATAAATCAAATTCTGTTTGAGTTTTTCTAACGGATGTAATTTCAACCTTGTTGCCTATGTGGTACAAACAGGATTCAAGAAAGATGTTATGAAGGAACTTCCTCCAAAAAAGGAGCTGATTTTACGAGTTGAGCTGACAAGCAAACAGAAAGAATACTACAAGGCAATTCTCACCAAGAACTACGCCGTGTTATCTCGTCGTGGTGGTGGACATGTAATAGTTGTAATTTTAATTTCCATTTTATGGTTTGTATCGGTCTATTCTGGATTGACAATTCATTGTTGTCTTATTACAGGTTTCCCTTATAAATGTCGTAATGGAGCTGCGCAAACTTTGTTGCCATGGATTCATGACGGATGAACCTGATACTGAGCCTGCGAGCCCAGAAGAAGGTTTAAGGTACTTGGTTGTTTGTTTGTTGAAGTCTGATTTTTTTCTTTATGCTCCAGATTTTCTGTTGTTGCTCCTTCAGATTTACTGCTGTCCTGGCGAAGTTCTTTCCATTTGTTTTGCACTTCTCTGAGTTCACTTCTTGGGCATTGCTGTTGTTCTTGTATCTAATGAATGATGTAATCTTATTTAATCATCAATAAAGTGCGCCAAGAGGTTTTCCTTAAAAAAAGTGTCAAACAGTCTGAGCTTTGACCTTTTATTTCACTTATTTTGTGCTTACAGATACCTGTTAGACATGATGTCTATTAATCTGATCTTTTCATTTCACACGAGAACACATACGCGCTGGAGTTGTCCAATCTATCATAGACTTGTACTTTATCTTTCAATAGTATGTCATAAATAAAAATATACGTATATGCCAGCGAAAAATATAAGCAAATTTTACCAATTGCTTAGGTAGTCTACAGTCATCTTTTGTTCCAGCTAGAGTAAAACCTCTGTATAATCTGCTATAATGCTCATATGATGTTATTTATATGTGTTACGGCGCTGCTAGAAGGAGGGCGCGAGAGGACCGGCCGGGGGCCTTTCTGCCCACGGCCGGGCAAGAGGGAAGGGATTTCCTTCTTAATTCTTGCTTGATTAGATTAATACATCTCCTCTCTTTATATAGAGAGGTTTACTTGACTCCCAAGCAAGGCTTACTTGACCCCTAAGCAAGCGACTCTTATCTCTAATTAACCCTAAGACTAACGGGCCCATTAGGCCCATTACGTACTCTAACAATATGTCTAAGGTTCCTTTCAATTTGTTCCTATGTTAATTAGACTACTTAACTTTTGTCTAGATATCTTCCATCACTCAGTAAATCTACTGATCGAAATTTATGTTCTATATAGCATTAACTTTTGTTCCTTTAATTTTGCAGGAGGCTTTTAGATTCTTCTGGAAAGATGCAACTATTAGACAAGATGATGGTGAAGCTGAAAGAGCAGGGTCATAGAGTCCTTATCTATTCACAGTTCCAACATATGTTGGACTTACTGGAGGATTATTTAAGCTACAGGGTATTTTAACTATTTTCCCGTTGTATCAATTGTTAATTATTATGCTCGCTAGTTCATCTCATGTACCTTATTTTAAACATCACACATGTTTTAGAAATGGAGCTACGAACGTATTGATGGCAAGATAGGTGGCGCTGAAAGGCAGATACGAATAGATCGCTTCAATGCTAAGACTTCTACTAGGTTCTGCTTTCTTCTTTCTACTAGAGCTGGTGGCCTGGGTATAAATTTGGCAACGGCTGATACTGTAATTATCTATGACAGGTGAATCGATCTCCTTGTTTAAACAACAAAGTTCATATTCTGAAATCTTCTGTAACCTATATCTTACATTTACATACAGTGACTGGAATCCACACGCTGATCTACAAGCTATGGCAAGAGCCCATCGTTTAGGGCAGACTAGCAAGGTATCTGACCAAAGCTGTTTATGTCCTATTGAATTGTTTCTTTTTGTGTGTGCGCGCGCTGGTTCTTAGTCTTTTTCTAAATCTCGTCTTCCCTGCAGGTTATGATATATAGACTTGTTAGTCGAGGTACAATTGAGGAGCGAATGATGCAGCTTACAAAGAAAAAGATGATACTGGAGCACTTAGTTGTTGGGAGACTCACAAAGGCTAGTAATGTCAATCAGGTAACTGCATGGATTGCGATTCTAATGATCCATAGGCGTTAAGAAATATCATTTTTTTGAGCATTTATGGTTTTACTTAGATACAACTTCATGTCTATGACATCACACATTGACTAATTACGTGCTATCTTCTCTTACTGGTGTGACATGGACTGAAATGCAGAATCAAAGTCTCTATGGTGCATGTAGCACCTGGTTCCTATCGCGATCATTGCCTTATGTTACATTTCACATGGCCTACAAGCTTTGACACCTGTTGCTACGATTGATGATTATCAAGCCCATTTAGATGTCATCTCCTGTGTTTTTTTTATGCTTACCAAGTAACTGTTTTTGCGACACCTATCAATTAGCTTCTACTGGTATCAGATATGGTACTTAATTGCTTTTTTTGGCCACACCAGGTGCATACACTTGTGATTTACCTGATTTGAAACTGTGGTGATATGTGTGATTTCTTATTAGTTACTACTTGATGCATGTAAAAATTCGAATTGTTTTTGTTTCAAAATCATTCTGCATGTAGCTTAGATTATATGTTAGCTGGGGTGGGTGATCAGGCGATGCCGTGATGGACCTAAGTTTCTTTGTGAAGTGTTAATCAATGCTGTAGATAGTGTTCAATATGTTCGGAAATCTGGCCTTACTTGTTATATCTGTTTTTAAATGCCAAGTAAAAATCATCAATCTGTTCCCTTTTCCAGGAGGAGTTAGATGATATTATCCGGTATGGGTCAAAAGAACTTTTTGATGATGACGAGGATGAAGCTGGAAAGTCACGCCAAATACATTATGACGATGCTGCAATAGATAGGTAAGCACTTTCTTTGTTTTGAAAACAAATACTCCCTCTGTCCCAAATTACTTGCCGCAAAATTGGATAAAAATGGATGTATCTAGAATTAAAATATGTCTAAATACATCCATTTCTGCAACAAGTAATTTCCGACGGAGGGAGTATGCTGTAATAGTGTTCAATATGTTTGGAAATCTGGCTAAATTTCATACTCAAGCACTGTACTGCTGTAGTAAAGGGCCAATTCATGCTTTGAGTCATCCTCTTCACAAGTAGAAATTCAGCAAATTGTTCACTTGTTTAGTCTCATTGTTTCATCTGAATTTCTTTATTTTCTTCTCCTTTTATAGTAATCTCACTTATTTCGTTCGAGCCGTCCTCTACGCAAAACATGGATGCGTTTGGATCCAGAGCTAGTATACGTGAGCCATTGGCAAAGCATTGTGTTTGTTAGCACCAAAAAAAAAATCTTGCTTTGCCAGGTGAGAGACGTGGGTCGGGGCCAGAAATCCCTAGCACACGATCTCATAAGCATCTGTGCTAAACGGCGAAACAACAGAATTGGGGCCAAGCAGACCCTGCATGACATTTTCTAGAGAACATACAAACAGGCGAACCCTATATGAAAATTGTCTCCGTTTATTTTAAAATGTTTTAGTGGAATTTTGCACTATATCTTTATGTGGTAAGAGTGCATTGCATTGGATGACAAATTCTTTGTTACTGGCTTCACAGGTTATTGGACCGTGACCAAGTCGACGAGGAAGAATATTTGGAAGATGAAGAAGATGACGAATTTCTGAAAGGTTTCAAGGTACCGAGGTGTTATCTCATTATTATAAGTATAAAGCATAGGGGGCCTCTTCATTTTAATTAGGATGTTCTTTTTCCCCGACTCAATTCTTCAAGTCCCAAAAAACACCCTCAAGGCCTCAACTTCAACACCATTCGCTTTGGCCACTCAAATCCTAAAACCAGTCAAAACACCCTCAAAACCAAGACCACCATGGTTTGGTTAATGTGGCGTCTACATGTACATGTTTCACTGACATGGTAGCCATATTCAACGTCCCGTTTATCCTTCTTCTTGTTCCTTAAGATGCCCCATCACATAGTCATGCATGCCGAGGCCAGGGCTGTGCCAGTTAGCATGGTGAAAACGACAAATAGAACAGCCTAGGGGAAAAGCGAACAGTTCAGATAATAAGAGTGAATACCTAGCAGTTTTGGGTCAGAGGTCTTCTCCGAACATGGAGAAAATTGAGGGCTGCAAAATGAACTTGCACCTTTGGATTAATCTCTTCAAATTATTTGCTATAATCTCTACTTTTATTGTCTGCTGGAAAAAGTACACATTACCCTTGAACTCGTCAAATTTTCTGATTTCAACCTTGAAATATGACATGGCTCCCTGATGCTTCACAGTGAGTACAGCTTCAAATGCTGTTTACGTTGCTGATGTTGTCCAGTGCTGCACAATAGATGGTTTGTTAGTTTAGGCTTAACCTGGATGTTTTGAAGAATTCAAGGGGCCAATATATACTTCTCTTTATTTGTTACTTGCTTATGTGGTCATCTTATTGGGTAATGGCACACCATATCTTGTCTGTTCTGCACTAATATGTTCATTTCCAACCTAAGGAACTATAGCTGCCATCTGTCTGTCTTGAATTCTCCACCTTACTGTATTACTATTCATCTAACCACTGAGCGTCTTGGTGTGTGAGATAAGTAGATGGACTATTGTTTTTCTTACCATGTAAGGTGAAACGGTCTTGAAAATGGTGACATATAAATTTTATTAACCATTAGTTTTTATGTTTAGTCAATAAATTTGGTGGTTGTCAAAACCATCAAGAGATAAAGTGGGCATGCTTTAAGTTTTTTTTTAAAAAGTGGGCATGCATTAAGGAGGTGTTTGTTTCACAAATTTTTGCCCGTCACCTGTTTACACCTTAAAGGAAAAAACGTTACTTGCGTTTGGAAACACCACACCGTAAACAGGTCCGCCCCAGTTATAGATCGATGCCGCTCACACCCCACCAGTAAAATGTTGCGGTACCGAGCCTACGACCCCCTCCTCCCCGCATGATTCCCCAATCCCCTTTGAGTCTGCGCCGGTGCCTCCCCAATCCCCTTTGAGTCTGCGCCGGTGCCTCCCCGATCCCCTTTGAGTCCGGCGCCGGTGCCTCCCCGATCCCCTTTGAGTTCCTGCGGAGATTGGAGCAGCCGGCGGCGCTTACGTTCGGGAAGGGCCGGCGGCTCTTGAGATTGGTGGCGGCCGATGGCGCACAAGATCCCAGAGCCGGCGGCGCTTGATTTCGTGGACGGCTGGCGGCACTTGAAATCTGGGCGGAGCAAGGGCATAGCGATGGTAATCAATTCCTTTACCTGGACGTGAACCGAACGAACTTGCAAAAAGTTCATTACACCTCCTTAAGCGCTGTGATCTGATTACGTTAACATTACCATTTCTGTTGCCAAACACCTCCTAAGTTTTTTTTGTAAAAAGTGGGCATGCATTCACAATACCTGAACATTATAGCAGCATGGTAGTTTTGCCATTGCCTTTAAAGTCTACTGGGGGGAGTGCTTTCCAAAGCATTCTGTAAATAATGTGCACAATGTCTCTTTCCGTTGCTTCATTCACATTTTCTCCACTAGCGTTCTGATTTTGGGGCATATGCTGCTAATAAGCACTAACTCTTGTGTTACTATGTGCCAGGTTGCGAACTTCGAGTACATAGATGAAGCTAAAGCTTTAGCAGCAAAAGAGGAGGCACGCAAAAAAGCGGAAGCTGAAGCCGCATCCAATAAAGCAAACTATTGGGAAGAATTATTGAAAGACAGATGCGTTGAGCAAGAAGTAGAAGAAATTGCTATGGGAAAAGGAAAAAGAAGCCGCAAGCAGGTAACCTTTCTATACTTGTCTTCATTAACTTTTTTATTTTTTCTTTAGATCCGCATTCTTACTGAAACCTTGCATTTATGTAAGATTTTATTGTTATTAAATTTATAGGTTATGGTGTTGCTTCTATGTAGTAGAACACATAGTAGACAGTTGTTATTGCAGCTAGAGCATCTCCATATTTCCATATGGAGTGTCCGTCCGGAAATATTCTCCCTCCATCTTCACACTCCAACAGACTATTCCATTACTATATTTTAACAATACCCTATGAAAAACAATGTTTTTGCAACGGTTATATTTGTAACTGCTTATTTCTGAATAGATGCCAAAAGCTTGACAAATGATCAAGTAATCTTCTTCTTCTCTGTTCTCTCTCCCATTTCCCTTGTTCTAAAATACCCCAATATCCTCCGTTTTCTATGGTCTCCCTTTATTTGTCACGAGTCATAACACCACCACCACTCCCCCTTCTTCTGGCCCGCACCTCATCCCGCTGTTCATCTTCTTGTGGTCATGCCCACTCTGACCAGCTCGTCCTCATCTCCCTCTCCTCCTTTCACCCTGACCAGCTTCCACCTCCCACCTTTACTCAGCGCACCTTGCTCCCCCTTCCCCCTTTCAGCCCACCCCCACCAGCTCATCATCCTCTCCAGGTTCCTCCTTCTGACAAGCAGCAGTGGCTGCCACCCATCCTCATCTACCGCTTCTGCTGTCTTGGTCCCGCGTGGCCATCATGCTTCCTCGTCCCCCACCTTCTGCCCCTCCTTCCCTGACCTCCTGTCCTTGCCTCGTCCCGCAGCCGTCACTGCTGGACAGCCAAGACATGCGGTGCCAGCAGCACGCCGCCGCCCTGATGCGCACATTGATGATGGCGGTGGCTCTGATGGCAAGGGAAGATGATGGTGACTGGGGCCACTCGACACCGGCTGCTGGTGGGTGACGGCGGGGGTAAAGAACCTCGAAAGAGGGGTGTGGAAAGGGAGGGCGTCAGCGGGGAAGAGCCACCAGGCAGCTCTGACTACAGGGCCCCCTCTCCTCCCAGCTGTTCCCTCCCCATGACTCGTCGGCATGGCTGAACTGCTTTACTGGGCCGGGCGGGCTTCTAGGTGACGGGTGAGCACAGCAGCGGCAAAGAAGTGCAGTGATGGGGGGAGCTGGCTGGACAGGGAACCTCATTTTGGTAGAGAGGAAGAGGAAATGTCGGGAGGGGAGGGGTGGTTGGTCATTGGCTAACCCAGGAGCACACGCTAGATTTGGGCCGCGTTCGGTTTCCCTCTGCTCCATGGCTCCACTCCCGGAGCGGTAGTTAAAATACTTGGAGCCATCAAACAGCTGCTCTGCAGATTCTAGAATTTGAAGGAGTTGGTGGACTGCCGAACGCGCCCTTGGCATGTGAGGAAGGGGATTTAGATCATTTAGATCTCTTGCACTTTTGAGGATGTTGGTTGTATGTGAACGTCTCTGAGCCCCCCCCCCCCTCCAACCTAGTATATTTTTTCCTCCCTAGTATGATAGGTGATCTTTTGCTTCAGACCTCGAACCACGATTTTTTCTTCTTATTTCTTGCTCTTCACAAACTAGTAATTCCTATTGAGAAATTTGCAAATTATATGGATGCCATTTTGAATAAATTGGTAGTATCGTGCATATGCATATTAATCAATGAAATAGACTAATGAGCCCTTCTTTTCTTCTTGTATCATACATAGATGGCTGCTGCTGATGAGGATGACATTACTGGCCTGCACGAGTTAAGTTCTGAAGACGAGGATTACTCCTATGATGATGATGTGTCGGATAATGACACGAGTTTACCAGCAAATGTTTCTGGGAGGAAGGCTCAGTATTCTAAGAAAAACTCACGTAATGAAATTATATACAGTATATTCCGTGTTATCATTTTACTATTATTTATTGCTACTTATAAATATTGTTCTTTACCTCCGATACATCTTCACCAGGTAATGTAGATTCACTCCCTTTGATGGAGGGTGAAGGGCGTGCTTTAAAAGTTTATGGATTCAATCATGTTCAACGAACACAATTCCTACAGACACTCATGAGGTTAGTTCAAAATATGTACTTTTTTTTTCTTGTGATCTTTAGGTTAAGGTACTCACTGCTTTACCCTATATAACTGCATACATGCAAGCATTGTTATTGCTTTAGGTGACATGCTGATCGAACTAGAAGTTTTAGCCCCTTTCCTCCTTCCCCCCTCCCACTTACCGAGGAATATCATTATATAAAAATGATGTTAAAAAATATGCTATGTCGTCAAGCTTGGAAAAGTTCTAAATCCTTCTTTTGTGCACATGTTTGAATGACATGGTTTTTTGTTTGTTGTCTGCTTCCATGTTATGTTCTAACAGTTATCTTTGTACCCCAAAGAAGTATATTTTTGGTCCAGATTAAGTATCCTCATTTGTGCCTTGAGAACACCGTTTTATCTTTGTACCTGCAACGTTCTTATATTTCTTTATAGAGGGAGTACTAGTAGAAGAACATTAATGTGTGGCATGTTGTTTTTCATGGTCAATGATTTTTCCCATTCAACTTTGCAGGTATGGTTTTCAGAACTATGATTGGAAAGAGTATCTTCCTCGTTTGAAGGGGAAAAGTGTTGAGGAAATTCAGAGGTATGCCCTACTGTTATCTCAGTATTATTGATTACAAAGTATATTTGTTCAGGTGCCAGAATATAATTGGCATTCTTGTAAGCACAAGTTGGACTAGTTATCTGTTATTTAAACCAGCAATGTTCTTTCTTACTTGTTCATTGGGATTGCCTGGGATATCTTAAACAAATATATGATAATAAACATAAGAATTGGCTTCTGTCTACTTAAGTATATATTGACTCGTGATTCTGGATTTCTCTTCAGCTGACAACCATGCTTGTACCAACTTAAGCCTTGAAATGTCAATTTCGATGAGTGTCTGAAGCTCAAGTATCCGTTTTCGTGGATGATGCATAGTTCTGTACCTTTAGTATTATGATTCATGCATCACAGAAAGCTGTGCTGTAGTTCTGTGGCCATAGATGTTCTTTTTTGTAATCATGTTGGTACTGGAAAGCATAAGTATTTTTTTAATAATTTGATCATAGACATGTTTGCTCTAATGTTCCTATGGAATGTTGTGATGTTTGCCTTCTGCAAGCTATGTTACAAAAACCTTGGATAAGATTACTTGCAATCAGAGAGACCTCATATGCCATTTCACAAAGTGAGCAAAATGGTGTAGTATTCCATGTTAAAAATTATTCTGGGCCAGTTTTGTTCCCTCTTTTTATTTGCTCTTTCTAGTTTTCACATTTAATTATTTCTGTAATATGAACCCTATCCATATTGGTTCTTGTAGATATGGTGAGCTTGTCATGGCCCATCTTGTAGAGGACACAAATGACTCACCAACCTATGCAGGTATATGCCGCTTAGTACCAATTTCATTTTCGTTTATGCTTACTTTTAACCCCATATTCATAAATGTAGATGGTGTGCCGAAGGAAATGCGTGCTGATGAGACATTGGTCAGGCTAGCCAAAATATCACTTGTGGAGGAGAAGGTATATGTTCATAATATCATGCATTATGTGCTCAGCTTTACTTTAGGGCACTCTCTTGTATTGTTCGGGTTTAACTCCAAAACTAGACTATTTTTGGAGTATGTGGCTGAAACAATGAAGCTGTTTAGTCATAAATGAATAAATAAAACATGAAGTTGCTTTTATTTCTGTGGTGTTAAGCAAGCCCCATTAATTTAATGTAATATGGTCTGCATATGGTTTAAACAGCAGGATATCACATATTTTAAGGTATTGCATCAGTGTAAATACATATGCCTTGCTTTTACTGGCAATGCCAAATATATACTGCATCCTTATGTGTTCACACTTGATTGCTTAGGTTGCAATTAAGCCAATTTTTATGGAAAACGGTAACATTCTGTTGCATATATTTCAACTAAGCCAGTTATCGTTATTTGGTTCCAAATTATGACTGTCAACTACTCCCTCCGTCCCAAAATAAGTGTCTCAACCTTAGTACAGCTTTGCACTAGAGTTACTACAAAGTTGAGACACTTATTTTGGGACGGAGGGAGTATATTCTATATTTTGTAGTAGTATGTATGTGACAGTTGGTATTGGCAATTCGGCATCTAACCATTAAAAACAATTAAGAAATTATCGACTGCCCAAGCTCATAAGCCGTGAGTTGTGATTGGTTATAGCACAAACATGGTTCTTAGGATTCTTGGGTCGTGCTTCACCAGTTCACCGTGGTGAATTGGTTCTCACCATATTCCAGTCAAACTGTCAGTGTCCCTTTTTTACCTGGATTTTCGTGCAACTGCTCTAAACCCCTCTTTTAAAGTCATCTACTGCACTAAAAGGCTTACAATTGCATGCACCTGCCCTAAACCCCTCTTTTAAAGTCATCTACTGAAGTAAAAATTCTTACAATTGCATATAGTTTGTTTGTCAGATTTTTAATATGCAAGATCAAAATCATTTTTTTAGGATAAACATGTCAGGCCTAGCAGATAAACCAGGTTGCATATTTGGACTGAAATTTCAGTAGTTTACCTTGTTATGTATTTATGAAATGGCACTGTTCTTGATTGTTAGTTTACAAGCCAGGTAATTGTGTGATTTCTGAGATCCCTTGTCCTTGTAGATTTTAGAGAATAATATTACTTCAATACATGATTCTCTCGTCAATAACGTAGATAGCGATTGAACATTGTGCTGTTTTTATGGTTCCAGGTGGCTGCCATGGAGCAAGGAAAAATTACAAAACTCTTCCCCAACTACTTGATGTATGAATTTACTGGCTTATCAGGTGGAAGAATATGGAAAGGGGAACATGATCTACTGTTACTGAAAGCATTAATAAAGTATGCATCCATTTTATATGTCCTGTTTGTTACCATAAGTACTGTTCAGTATTCTATATGCCTCATGTAACTAGCCAATTGACCTGAGAACTATGGATTTTGCCTCAATATTATGAGACCTAGCTCAACCCAGCTGAGGTCTCAAGTCACCAGTCAGACTTCATGCTTTGTTTAAATGTTTTAAGTAAATATGGCAAGCACAAAAGGCAGTAATACACGTACCATAAAGAAACTACTACCTCTGTAAAGTAATAAGGAGTATAAGACGTTTTAGACACTTGTATGTCTAAAATGTCTTATACTAGTTTACAGAGGCAGTACTTCATTGGTATATTTTTGTACTAATTGGCCAATTTGCTTGTATAATTATTTTCTTGTAAAGAACATAATCAGTCATTGGTGCAGTTGGCTTGCGTGCTTAACTTCACGCTACCCAGAGAGAGAGGGTTTGAGCCCTAGCTGGTTGCACTAGAGCATTTTTTCTCCTTTCTCAATTCTTATAGGAATGTAATTCTTTTTTCTCCTGGATTAAGAATTAAAGTATGAATTTTGCGCCCCTCAAAGTGAATGGTGTGTTTTAATACATTCATACTGCTTTGCTTCTGTTTTAATTAACGAAAAATGCATTATTCATCTTCTTTTTGTTTCTTTTTTGCACAAACATAGCTGGTGTACAATATAGCATATATGGTACTGATTTTTTTTTTTTCATTAGGCACGGGTATGCCAGGTGGCAATACATATCAGATGACAGAGATAACGGGCTATTTGAAACTGCTCGACGGGAGCTTAATCTTCCTTCTGCTAATGAATTGATTAGTTCTCAGTCAAACAATGAGGCAAATGTTAGTGCGCGCACACATCAATTTCCTAACTAAAATCAGAAGGCTGTGAGCCATTTGATTTATTTTAATTGCATGCTTTTTCCAGGGAAATCTGGAAAGCACACAGGAAGTGCAGGTGAACCCAACGAGCTTATCTCAATACAGGGACATCCAGAGAAAGATTGTTGAGTTTATCAGAAAGAGATACCATATTCTGGAAAAATGCTTGGACATTGAATATGCCGTGGTATGGCGCATGATCTCTGTCGTAAACATACACTGGGACTAATCTTTGTTGTGCAGCAATTATTGAAGTCATATCTTTTGGTTTTGCAGATAAAAACAAATACTCCTGTTCCTGATGATCTGACTGAACAAAATGTTCCTATGGGACATAGCCCAGCTGTTCCAGATATCAGTGAAGTGTTGAGAGAACTTCCCCCTCTTGTACCAATTTGTAAGTGATCTTTCTCTTAATTTTCTTATCTATGCAGATATGCCTGTGTTTGCACACCTGTCTTTAGTTATCACATGTATTCTAAGGTTTGTATGTAAGGTTTGTGTTCTTGGACTAGCCTGGGATCTTAGCAGTATATAGGTAGTTCTCTCGGTGGACTTGTAAATTGTATTTGACTGTTCGGTGCTCTTGCTAGTGTTCGTATTTTTAGCCTTGTATCATCACTGGATTTCTGGCAACTCCTCAACTCTGTTTACCTCTGTTGGTTCAGGATGTTCCCCTGTCTATTGTTGCCTTACAGCTATAGTGTGTGGTGATACTTAAATAGATGCCATTTTATTTTACTGTATATTCCGTGAGTTAATGTCCATTGCTTATTCGTTAAGTGTGTCCCTCTTTCCAGCTGCCAAAGAAGTGGCTTCTGATGGCTCAACTGACCAGGCACACCTTTCCCATCTTTACAACAAGGTACCTAATGAAGCAAGTGTTCACGAGCTAACGACCTAACATGCCTATTCCCCTTTCAAAGTGTATAGTTTCCTTGACTGACCGTTGTCTTTATGCTCGCAGATGTGCGGTGTGCTTGAGGACAGTGGCCCACGTGCACTCAATTCGTTCTGTGGTGACAAGGCAGCCTCTGCGAGTCTAGCCAACAGCCTCCATCAGTTTGAGAAAGTATGCGAGGACGTTGATCGGGTCTTGAGAGTCCAAGAGAACGGTGCTGCTACCCCCAAAGAACAAGTGGTAGATGCCAGCGTCGAAGAAGCCAAGGCTCCACAAGTGCCTTCACAAGATGCAGGCGTTGTGGCGGCGAACGGTGTCGGGCCTTCGACGGTAAAGCCGGAGGACAAAATGGAAATCGATGGTTGATGTTTAGGGATAAGAACTGTATCGGACCCCCTCTTCAGTTTAGTTGCTAAACTGGTTCTAGTCTACCAGTAGTCAGTACTAATGATTACCTATACCAAATTTTCCTGACCCGTATGCTTGCGTTGTTTTATTGAGACTTTGAGAGGCTACCGTTGTTTATGGTGTACTCTGTTGCTCGTCAGGTTGTAAGCTGTATCCCTCTGCGCACGCAATCCAAAGAGCACAACTCTACTCGCGCTCTTCAGATTGCAGGATTGTGGCAAGGGAAAAATAAGTCTTATCCTTTTCGAGAACCTTTAGCAATACAAAGACGCGCTCCCTCTCTCCTGTCTTATACTCTATCTGTTCCATATAGTGCATCTAGATTTTTTGAAAAATCAAACCTCACCAACTTTGACTAAGTTTATGAAGAAAAATATTAACATCCAGAATGCCAAACATATATCATTAGATTCATTATAAGACAGCTCCATATTTTATATATTTGCTATTGCAAATAGAAATAATGTTCTCTATAAACTTGGTTAAAGTTTGTAAAGACTTTTTAAAATATCTATACACACTACATTATGGAATGGAGGAAGTATTAGTTTAGGAAGTACTCCCTCCATTCTAAAATATAAGACCATTTTTGACACTTAGTATGGGCAACTCTTGAAAAACACTTAGTTTGAGCAAATTCATGTTTGTGTTCTATGTAGAACACACCGTTTTAAAAGCATGTGTCTCAATACTCCTTAGTTTTAAATGTTAATTTGTGTAAATAAATTAGTGAAAAATACATCTTAACTCTTTGTTGTTGCTTTCTGCTCCAAAGAAAATCCATTTTCAGTCTAAAAAGAGCATCATAATCTATTCCTCAGTGTTGTGGAGTCTCTTGTTTGGTCGTGTGGGCGGCAGTGTCCTCGGCTCGTACGGACCGCGGCCCTGAGGCCGGTGAGGAAGTTGGAGCGGCGGTTTTGGAGAGTGCTGTGGGGTGCTGGATTTGGTCGTGTGGGCGGTAGAGTCGTTAGCTTGGGTGGAGCACGGCCTCGGGGCTGGTCAGAGTGGCAGCTCTAGGTCGAGCGTTAAGGTGTCAGCTCTGGTCGCTTGGCCGGCGGATTTGTCGGCTCATTTGGTAGGCTGGTGGGTTTTGTTGTATCGAGGCCAGTTTCTTTTTATAAACAACCTAAGAGCAACTCCAACGGGGCGACCCATTTCGTCCGTGGGTGTTCGTTTGGATCCGCACGGACACAAAAGTCGGCCCAACGCGCCAACCCAAATGGACGCGTGTACGCTTTTCATTTGCGGGCGACCCATTCCCGGTCCATTTTTGAACTGGATTTGCGTCGGTGCGCACATGAGACAGACGCGCGCACGCTCGCCTTCTCCTCCCCCGGGCCCGCTGGTCGGTGGCACATTGGCCTCTCCCCATCCAACAGCAAACCCTCGCCCGCTTCCTTCGTCGCTGACGCCATCGCCCATTTTTTCCGGTGACTCTGCCAGCTGCCGGCGCCGCAACATCCGCTCAGCAACGCCACCACCTTCCACGTCGCCCGCCACCGCCGTCTTGCCGCCGGGGAACCTACAGTTTCCTTGTTGGGAAACGTAGTAATTTCAAAAAAATTCCTACGCACACGCAAGATCATGGTGATGCATAGCAACGAGAGGGGGGAGTGTTGTCCACGTACCCTCGTAGACCGTAAGCGGAAGCGTGATGACAACGTGGTTGATGTAGTCGTACGTCTTCACGATCGACCGATCCTAGTACCGAACGTACGACACCTCCGCGATGTGCACATGTTCGGCTCGGTGACGTCCCACGAACTCACGATCCAGTAGAGCTTCGAGGGAGAGCTTCGTCAGCACGACGGCGTGATGACGGTGATGATGAAGTTACTGGTGCAGAGCTTCGCCTAAAC